TTAAATATTGAGAGGACATCCCAGCCCAGTCCAGATCAAATCTATAAGTCCAATATTAGCACATATGTCTGATACCAATTTATAAAGTCCTATTCAGACTCACAAAACACATGCAATGATGCCAAATGCAGGAAGCTCACAGGCCTGTGGGTGGGAAGTCTTGTGGATCTAATAGCAGTGTAAGTATCGTCTCCAAGTGGCTTCTCCAGCTTAAGGCCCTAGTGTAGTTCCATGAATCCAGTGGTAGTAGAAGCATCTCAGTACTGGCAAGGGTTTCCACATGGCTCCTCCAGTTCCTAGGGTATGGGGTTTATCCGCATAGTACGATGTGTCTTGTCAGTAGAGCATCTTTAAGGGAGTGAGCAGAGAGAACGTGTCTCCCTCTTCCAAGGAGGAAATACAGCAATTAGCAGAATTCTCAGGGGAAGGCCATGCCCACACAGAGACCTCATTGGCTATCACCCAATTGATAGACTAGACTTTACCCCATTCACTCTTAATCCTCTCAAGTCCCCAATTGACACTGGATTATGTAACTAGCACATCAAAAGATCAAAAAATGAATTGCATCAGATAAATCTGCTGCACAAGACCTCTTTAGATTATTGAAAAGCACTAATGTTACTTTTAGGACAAAAGTGCACCTGTCCCAAACCATGCATGGTATTTTCAATTGCCTCATATGCATGGGAAAGTGGGACATTGAATAAAGCAGAATGAAGATGAATCAATGCACTTGAATTAGGGTGCTAGACAAGAATATTGAACATACCATGGACTGCTGAAGGACAAAATCTGGTCTGGGAAGAAGTATGGTCAGACTGCTCCTTAGAGGAAAGCATGACAAGACTTCTCACATATTTTATACAGGTTGTCAGGGGAGACCAGTCCCTGGAGAAGGACATCATGTTCGGTAAAGTGGAAGAGCAGCAAGGAAAGGAAGACCCTTAAAGAGATGTATTGATACAGTGGCTGCAACAATGGGTCATCAAATAGATTTGATTCAATGTGATCCCATTTATTACAGAATAGAAAATTACTAAATTTTGTTTGGTTTTTAACTTTTTCCAATAAATTGGTTCAAGATTTACGGAGCAAATCAGTCTTCCATTCAACAGTCCATTCACATTTTGTTTCCTCTGGACAAAGAGGGGCTTTCTACTCCTGTAAAGAGTTACAGTCACAGAGGCAGTTCTACTCTGCCTTCCAGCGTCATGATGATTTGGCATCAACTGGATGGCTGTGAGTGGGCGAGGGATCACTGACTTCATCCCTCACAATCTAATAGCACTTATTATACTTCTTCCCTGTGTTTCCTGTTTCTATTCTACCTCTTCTTTCCTAACCCTTCCTGATGCGGGAATTTTGTATTTGGGTAA